GGAGTTCTGACAGGCGATCGGCTGACAAACCTGGAGTATGCGGAGGACATAGTTCTACTTCGGTCTGATGCATTGATTATGCAAACACAACTGTATAGGCTGACGCGTAGCGCTACGGCATGTGCTTTGCACCTTTAAAACGCAAAGTACTGTTGTACGACTAGACCGACACACCTTCGGCTCTGACTATCACTAAACAACCACTGGAAGCGGTGGGTCGGTTTACTTACCTTGGTAGCTGTTTCACCTCTAGTGGTCACATCACTGGGATGATTAATTCGCGTGTCAGCAAGGCCCGTGTGGCTTTCCAGAGACTCAATCATCTATGGAGACGGCGGGATATCAATCTGTCAGTGAAAGATAGGGCGTATAACGCTGCGGTAAGCCCGGTCTTACTGTATGGATCAGAAACCAGGCCAGTGCACGGCCGTGTTTGACCACCAGTGCTTGCGTAGTATCGTTCACGGTTGGTGGGAACATCGGGTGAGCAATGCTGAGGTGCGCCAGTTGGTTTTTGGCAAAAAGCTTTTTGGTGCCTAACTCGAGTGTTTGTTGAAGCTTATTCACAGTAGACCATGTTCACCGTATGTCAGATGATCGGCTTCCTCGGTGTGCAGTATACGCCGTGGCTACGCGAAGTTGGGTAAAACCGCGAGGTGCCCAGTCCATGATTTGGCATAGTGGCATGGAGAAATTGACTGAGATACTTGGTCAGGCGGGTGGGTAGGTGGCCTCGGATGGTCCACACCAATGGTTGTAGACCGTAGCAGACATGGCGCAATCGCGTAGCCAGTGGTGTGTGCGCATTCGGTTTCTTGCATCTAGTTGTTGGTTATAGTTCCATCCAGATTAGGTTAACGCACTTCCTTCTCGTTTTTGTTCTCTTTACATTCTATTTGCTTTTAGCCCCACTATCGTGCCGTTGTTGTTTATTGTTATAATTGCGATGCGAGCCGCGGCAACTGGATCCACCGAACTTTGGTGCTGGGATCATAGTTGATAAAGTGAATGGAAGTGAATTTATGGCACAAGAAAAGGGAGTGAACCGCTCAGCATCGTTATTTCACGCACCAGGCTACGATAATTTGATCACGTATTGCGCATGCTAGCACACCGACAGCTTGTTTGCAGCTGGAGCCTTTGAGCTCCTTGGTTGGGCCATAAAAACAATGAACAGGTTTGGCTGGGTACAATTGTTGACAATGCCAACCGCAGCGGCGTTTGTGTTGCGAGTTTCCTTGTCCCTCCTTCCATTTAATCTACCTACACAATCGAGATCTCATTTGCCGCGCACAATGTAACTATTTTGCGGCCTAATAGCTGGCTACTAGCTCTCCGGAACCATGTTCATTCGTTACTGATAAATCAGTTGGCGCGCCTGTTGCAGTTTTCTTTTCTCATGTACTGCGACACAACAACTTTCCCACATCTAGTTAACGTGCATAATGATGACGATGATGAATGTTGAAATTAGAGAGCGAGGAAGTGTAAATCTGTGTTGCTCCATCCTGGTTAGGTCGGGCACCTGCGTGAAATCACGTCCATGATTCTTCGCGGTGGTCGTATATTGCAGCCGCACTACATCTTACCCAGGTGCGATACGCTCCCTATACCTGTACTCTGCAAAGTGAGCGTCCAGGAATCTTTTAAATCCGGACACCGATTTCGCCTCGACTAGCGTCTCCACTCGACGATCGAAGTACCGAGGGTGAGCGACACGCTTCAAAGCCGGTACCACCAGTTTGTACCGGTATCTGCGTGTGCCACTTGGTGAGCGAACGTGCAGCAGTGGCCTCGAAACAGGGAAGTGGTCCAGGTGCAATATCCGGTGCGTCATTAGGAGATAAACTCGGAACCGACGATATGACAGGGTATACAGCCCTAGTCTCCTACATCGGTACTCGTACGACATACCCCGTAAACTGTGGATGAGCCGGGTAGCTACATTCTGAACCGGTTCCAATCACTGCACCTCACCTATGGTGATCGAACAATAGGCAGGTGAGCCGTACTCAAGCACCAGTTTTATCATGGAAGAGGACAAGCGAGTGGCAATCTCTTAAGACCAAGTGAAAAAGCTGCATCTAAGCGTCCAAAGCAGCCGTAGTCCGTTTCCGTGCAGTCCATTCACTTTGTCAACAAAGAGATTAGTGTGAGAGTACACCTAGATCCTTTACTGAGCTCCTGGGATATGGCGGTTGGCCGACTAGGGTGTATATATGCTCATTACCATCCTTCCCCAGACTCATAAATGACGACTTGATCGGGTTGAATGGCAAACCAACTTCTGCAGACCACAGGGACAGGTGGTCGAGGTCCTGTTGAAAGACGTCAGTCGTCGGGAGAATCAACAACCCACCAAATCTTCAGGTCGTCTGCAAACAATGCACAGGGCGAACGAAGAAATTGGGGTATTTCTTTGATGTGGATCAGAAACAAAATGAGCCCGTTCTGTGCCTTGGAGTACGCCGCTAGTGGAATGGTACCATTTCGTACAGTGGTTATTCCTGAAATCGGCGTAGATAACATCTACTGATTTCCCCTGGTTCAACGCCTGCAAGCATCCATGCCGGGTCAACAGCAGTTTGGTGATGCAGAGGCGGCCCTTCATGAAACTGTGATGCGCGGGTGTTAGGTCTTTTGACTACAACAGCTGGAGTAGCTCCTTTTCCACAACTTTCTCGTATACTTACGCTAAAATAGAGATCAGACAAGTCGGCCAGTAACTGTCCACATTAGTCGCGTCACCGCCCTTCGGAATTGGCTTCAGTTTTGTGCATTCACCAGTCGTTCGGCAATGCACGTTCAGACAACGACCTGTCGAACAGATCAGTCACAGTAGGCGAGAAGACGGCCGACAGGAGCTTCAGAATTAGCAGCTGGAGGTCGTTGCATCCCGCGGGCTTCGTGCCGTCAAGACTAGCGAGTAGACTGCGGACAACTTCCACATCGTAATCCAGACACTCGAGTTCCGTAAGAGCTTCACACGTTCAGTTCGGCACACGCGCATGCCCGCGTGTAAATACGGAAGCGAAATACGCCGCCAATGCGAACGCACGTTTAGCTCTGGAAGTCATTGTCTGTCAAGCCGAGCCCTCTAACACTGCTAAGTCACTTGCGAGCCTCAGGATTCGTTACACATAAGCAAAAATCCTCTTGGGGGCCGACTTAGCTGAGGTTGGCAGCTCATGTTCGGAATGTCGAGGCTTTCATGCTTTTGCGCTGCTGCATAGATTTCTCTGCCTCATAATGGTAGATAGAGGCAGACGCGAGTTATTCTACGAGACGCATCACCGTCGAGCCGATTGGTCCCTCTTTGTCGAACCAATGTGGCTTCACCGGTGCACACCCTCATTTATAACAGACAAACAGATGAATCCTGCGGTAGCGACCAGTCCACTTCACTTACGGCTGGATTGAGACCATCGAAGTTGGTCTTCCAGTAATTGTAGGACGGCTCGAGTGGACTCGAGTAGGACAGCGGCAGCTCTAGGTTGACTAAGACCATCGAGTAGTCACTGGTCGCCAAAGGTTCCAGGACCTGAATACCATATACACGTTGTGTGCCGCTCACGTCTCAAATAGCATCTACGCAAACTGCGTCCCGATTTCACAGTGCCCGAAGAGACATTGAAACGCATGCCACAGTATCCGAGGGAAGTTAAAATCGCCCAGGAAGCGGGGCCGGCTAATGTAGCTTCTGGCATGCGGGAACCAATCCAGATATCGACTTAGCGAGTTGTGATAAGCTGCACCCACAAACAGTTCAGTGTCCCAAGCGGATCGAGCACCATGGCAGGTCACACAGGCCACATTCGCTTCAGTATATTTTTCAGTCTCCCGTACAGCGAGGACCGAATATATAACAGCACGCCACCGCATTCGTTTGATAGTCTGTCGCACCGGAAGCACGAATATCCACTGATCTTGAATTCCTGGGTACTGACCACAGGATTTAACCAGGTTTCGACCAGTCCTGGTAAGTCCGGACGATGATGTTCAGTACCATTATATGGCGCACCAGACTCCGAGGACTTGGCCACGTGTTGCGCCTGCCAGCAGACGGATTCCCGCGACGCGCGTTGTTTGATCGGCTGGGGTCTGGATAAAAGAACAGAAAGGAAGAGCAAGCGGTGAGTTGGTCATGAAGTATGAAGAACCTTACTACGAGCTTCGCGTCGGTTGGTGTGTCCCGACTGCCGGGCTCGATTCCGGACAATGGATATGGCGTTTGTGCTATGAGTTAAATCGTCCCTTCCTCTCGTGCCTATCTTTCATCTCTAACCACGATATAACGCTTAATGCATAATACGGTATTCACTTGTTTCAGTTTTTGTATACTGTAAGGTTTAGTTTCGCGCCTTTTCCATGTTCCTTATCTTTATACTGCGGCACGACAGCTGAAGTGTGCTTCTCAGCTTTAGCTAATGTGTTATGATTATGTTAACAACGCTAGAGTTGAGCACAGGTGGAGTACAAGCGACAAGGACGATAAGCAAAGGCTTCGTAAAAAAATAACGAAACCAGGCCGACAACATGAATAGGATTGTGTAGCTGTAGCAACAGAATCCGTTTTTCTAGGCTGGATCATTTGGATTAGATATGTCAATGGTTGGAAACTTCTCTGCGCATGGCGAAGCGTCTAGTTCAGAAGCCATCTTTGATTCGGTCCACTGTTTTAGACTTTTAGCATTTCGACCAGCAGTTTGGATCCTCTTTCTGCCTTTAAATTGACTTCCACATTTAGTCAGGTTCTCTATTGTCATAAAAGTTATGATATCACAAGCTAATGTGATTGCTTCTATCGTACTTACTGCAGAGAACGCAATGTCGGGTATTCTAAATCTGACTAGAATTAAGAACACCCAGGGCCGTGAGTGAATAAAATTTGTCCACACGTACTCGAAAGGGAAAAGTAGCCCCAATGGAACTGCACTAACAAAGCCACAAAAATGATAAGTCAAAAAACTATTGCAAATAAGACAAAAAACGGTGCATACTCGCAAAGAGTTGCGCTCGGGCACTTAGAAGTGCCTGGATTGCGCAACGCATTAACCACTTGTCCAGTCTGGTTATCTAACAATGCGCCGGCATCCAATGACTGGAAGACAACTGGAGTAGAAACGGGTGTGATGGTCCCCGGTGAAGACGGCTGAGAGATAGCGGGGTCGTCCAACCGTTGAGCCGATGATACTACAGAAGATCCCGCGTGTGAACGAGCGTGGGTAGAAGTTTCACATCTCAAAGCCGCATCCTGTACTTCAGAGCTCGTGGGATTAGAGGGACTGCTCTCTGCAGAATCATCACAATCGACTCTATGAATGCGATTCTCAGAATTAGAAGAAACAGGAGCTGGGAATTTTGATAATAAACATGCAGTTTTACTTGAAGATTCACAAGTTTGCTGCTGAACTTGCGAAAGTGGTGCACCCATAAGTGCTTGCGGCATTGGGTGAACGAGTGCTAGAGGTTTGGGAGTGTCCAGAGAACTGCCACCCTGATGACGATATGGAAAAACTGGCATGGCATTATTCTGTTGCATTTGCGCTTGGATATATGGAGCCGACGCACATGCGGGGAATAGTAACGGATTGCTATAAGCTGAAAAATCTCCAAGACATCCAGGAGTATCAGATGGGTAAAACGAATTCCAAGGATTCTGTGAGTTTGCAGGAGGGCCGGTCAAGCCCAAATTGTGTGGGCCAAATACTCTTGGATGATACCTAAGGGCCGTAAGTAAAAACGAGAAAACCAACCTGGACATCGTCTGCAATAATGAATTTAAAAACGGTGTATAAGGCTCCCTACATGAACTTGTTAATAACAGGCTAGGACTACAAAAGCTGGAATTATTATTCTAAAAACATTTCTTGAATTCCGAAGACAGGTTTGGTTGAATTATTGGCCTAAAGGAACCCAAAAAGTCAAGAAACGAGAGACGTGAGTAGCCCCGGTCGCCGTACCGGCAACGGGAAAAGCAGGACTGTACATTTGGGTACAGCAGCGGGCGCGTCCATCACACGTAATGACGGGAAAGCTTTCAAATTCAAGTTCCGGTGGGACAGGAACGATAGCAGAATCATGGGAGTGTCTCAGCTTGAGTAGAAAGTTGCGCCAGGAATTGGCAACGTGCGCAGTTATTCTTAGTTTACATTGGAACATTGTATTTAATGGGTATAAAAGCTCGAGCTTTACATGACCCGTAGGGTAAAAAGAGTACGGGTCGGGTCTAATGAAAGGCCAAGCAACCTTATAGCGAGTTGGACTCGCGGGTTAGCCGTATCTTCATCGGGCTTATGTGGCATATAAACAGAATGCACGCCGGCTCAAAGCCAGACATCCCACCACGCCCTGCGAAACGGCTTCGGAAAGGAAGTAGGTGGAAGAAAAAAAAGAAAGAAATTCCATCCAGTAGAATGTAGTTAAATTAGGGAATATCGCGGTGTAGCTCGGCCAGATGACAGTCCAAGCGGGTCTTAAAATCCGCCACAGTGGGTGCCAAGGCTAAATCGGCAGGCAGAGCATTCCACGGTCGGCAGATTCGCAAAGCGAAGTAAGTTCAAGTTCAAATTCAAGCGGGACTGGAACGATAGGATGATCCCGTAAGTGTTCCTTCTTCGGCGGGTCGTTGAACCAGGAGTTATCGAACTTTGAAGTACTGATGGACCTAAAACAAAGACGGCATCACCACCTGTCCAACCAATTAATGCCCACGTATCCTGCCCTAGCAGTCCCTTCTGGGTAGGTTACGTGAAGTAAGAAAGAGAAAAAAGTAAACACAGGAGGCAAAAGAGAAAGTGGTAAGAGCTAAGCAAGTGGAATACCAAGATATTTGAGTCAATAAAAAAGAACTGAAAAGTGAAGGTGAGTCGGCTAGGAAAAACGAAAGGTTGGCTGTTGCCACCCAAGAGCATCGAGCTGGCGCGCAAAACCCTTAACTGTAGGTTCCCTAACCACGTGATCTGGAATCAAATTGCTGCGATCTATTACGTGGTGATATAGTCCAGTTTTCGTTTTTTTCCTTTCAGTCGGTGGTTTATGCAGTTTCGGTAGGTTACCGGGGATATTTGTCCCTGTAGCGTGCCTGATTATCCTTGCCATGTCCATGCTATTCTTAACCGTCAAAATCCGTTATGTGCGTATGTGGTGCCCTGATATCCCTCTTATCCCTGAGCAAGCGTTCAGGATAGTTTTTTCCCCTTAGACCTTGCATTAACCGAGTGCCCACTCGCAACACCCACTCCAATTCCATTTTTTTTCGGTTAAAACTTGTTGGACAAGCTTGATTACAATTTTCCAGTTGGGGTCGGAGGATGGCCGAAAATAGCTTCACATACAACTTGGCCGTTTAGATTTTGAAAGAGCGGCGGATAAACCACACCATACGAAACCCTCGACAAGCAGCCTTCTTCCAGTTGGCTCCAGAATGAAGTGCTGATGCGTGTACGACTCCTAAAGCAACCCGCTGAGTGACAACAGGGAGTTCGCCACCGCCGACAACATATCGTGTGGGAGGATTTGCAGCTCCGATTCGGAGAACAAAACACTTCGCTCTACTTAGGGGCATCAACCATAAGATGGAATATTCCCAGAGCCTATCCAAGGCACGCTGGATTGCCTCAGGACCCCCGGGATATCCACAATATTCCAGAGCTCAAGGTCGTCAGCAAACATTAATGATGACACCCCTAGCTCTCCCGGCAAGTCATTTACATAGATCGCGAACAACAGAAGCCCCAATACCGAGCCCTGCAAAACGCCATTAAGGACAGCTTGCTTGGGCGAAAGGTTACGCCCCAACCTTACGAATTGTTCCCTCCCTTCAAGGAAGGAAGCCACCCATTGAAGGGCGCGACCAGTTTTCCCTTAAGTTCTCAACTTTATGGAGAGCCGAAGATGTGGAACATTATTAAAAGCTTTCGAAAATTTTACGATTAGCACTTTTACAGCTTGGCCGCTGTCTACCGTTTCGGCCCAGCTTTCACGAGTCACAATAAGATTAGTTTGACTTGAAAATCCTTTGCGGATTCCTTGTTGTGCGACATTGAGAAGGTTGATTCGATTCACGTGGTTTTCCACTGATTCCCTTTTCAGCTTTTCGAACAACTTGACTATTACGCTTGTCATATTGACAGGCCGTTAGTTCGCGGGTAAAGGGTTGTCACCGCCTTAAAAAACCGAGACGTGTTTTTGTCTTTTTCCTTTGCGAGTGTGGTCTACATCTCTCCAGCGATTTTGAAAACACGTATGTGAGCGGCCCTCTCCTCTCTGTGGCCAGTTTATGCAACATTTTGATATGATTTGTATCGAGCCCAGAAGTTTTAGGGGGTTTTATCCTTTGGTGTATCTCGAAGCCCTGTGTCTCCTTTATTCTATTTTCATCTAAGCAAGTATTCTCTGGCTCTTTTGAAACGTTTTCACTCTGTTGTAAAGGTGTCTCCCGAGAAAAGACTCTTGTATTCTTCACACTCTGTATAAAAGCTTTGTTATTGTCATTTTGCGCAGGTGTCCCGTCTTCTCGCTATAAATCTTGTATAGACATTTTTGCCCCGTTGCTTCTTTTAACTTAAGCAAAAACTTCTTGGGATTAGCTGCGGCCGAGTCCGCTAAACCCTGCTCGTATTGGAGACGAGCAGTTCTGAGATGTTGCTTATATTTATTTCTATTCTCTCGATAACTATCATAGGTACTGGCTGATGGAGCTGCTTGGTAGGATCGCCAACATCTAGACCGTTTCTTGAGTAGGTACTTGCCTGTGGTATCTATCCAAGGAGGCGGTGCCCTTAACTCTCTTTTCCTAATGAATGGAATATAGGGAGCGGAAACCTCCGTTAGGTATGCCTCAAATTTTTTCCAGGCCAACTGGACAGAGTCAGCCATCGGGATCTCACAGTTCAGAACTGAAGCCTTAGTTCGCATTGCACTAAAGTCCGCCCGCCAAATATTCGGAAGTAATTCAACAGCGGTCTCTTGGTGCCTTGAAAAAGCACATCGAAAGGATATGCATGCGTGATCGCTAGACCCTAGAGGTGCACCGCATGAAACGTCAGTCACGAAGTCCAGGGACTTAGCGAAAACCAAATCCAAAGTAGATGGTATTTGGTTATCCATATACCTAGTGGGAAAGCCAACGAACTGGTGCAGAGGCACTTGGAGAGTCAGTTCAAGGAAGTCTGCACCGAATGTTCCTAATGTCGACTTGCAAGAAAGAAGTAGTGTCGTCTGCGGTTCAGCCGTCTGTGCTGATGTGTGAGCCTCAGTGGGTGGCCACGTAGGTGGGAGCCCGATTGGTGCAATTTGAGTAGGTGGCGACAGGGATGTCCAGGGTTGGATAAGATCATGAATACGAGGATCAGGTCGCCCCGTAGACGTCGGTACTTAAGCGAGTAGAGGCCCAGGCACTGAAGTCGTTGTGGTTAATCTAGGTGCTTGAGACCTCGGACCAGTTTGGTTGCTTGACGTTGTGGGCTTCGAGTATGCGTTGGTCCTTCAACAAACATGGGCTCCAAGCCTGTATAGCGAACTCCAAGTAGGGTCGGAGAAAAGCGTTAAGGAGGAGGCGGAAATTGCTGGGGTCAATTTGACCGAAGGCTCGTTTCAGCAATCTCACCATGCGGTTAGCAGCGGCTGCTGCTTTCCGGCCGGAAGCGGATACGGAAAGGCTCGTCTGGGTAATGATACCCAAGTCTCTTTCGGATGAAGAGATCTGGAGGATGGACGCTCCCAGGTAATATACAGGAGAAAAAGCGGAAGGGCGGGTAGAAAGGACGCGATATTTCGAGGCGTTAAGTGGAAGTTTATTTGCTATGGACAACTGATGTAGACGGTGGAGGTCCGTCTGAATTGCGTGGGCATCGTCCGGAAGGTTAATTATGCGCCACAGCTTCGCGTCATCCGCGTACAGTAGCAGCGAAGACTCCACTTGCGGTGTGACGTCGTCAATAAAGGCTAGGAAGAGGTGCGGTCCCAGAACAGACCCCTGTGGAACTCCGCTTGTGGCAAGGATGCGGGGAGACAACGCTCCGTCGACGCGTACTTGGAAGGTACGGTTTTGGAGGTAGTTGCGGATCCAGTCCTTCAAGTCCCCTGAAACGCCGTAAGATGACAGTTTCCGCGGCAGAATCTTGTGGTCGACCTTGTCGAAGGCTTTGGCGAAATCCAGGAAGATCACATGCGTTTCTTGGCCAGAGTCGGCTGCAGTCGTCCAGCTGTCCCTGGCAAGTAGCAGGTTACTCAGGCAAGACCGTTGACGCCGGAAACCGTGCTGGCAATCAGAGAGCAGTTTCTGGGCCTCCATGTGGTCCATTAAAGCGTCTGCGACGATGGATTCCATCACTTACTAGATCGTAGATAGGAGAGTTATCGGTAGGTAATTGGCCGGATCTTTGCGAGTACCGCCTTTGTAGATTGGTGTAATAGTCCCACATTTCCAATCATTGGGAACTTTGCCTTGCAAGAAGAAGTGGGTGAACAGCTCCGCTAGGGGTAAAACTAGAGCTGCAGCGCACGCTCGCAAGAGCCGTGGGTGGAAACCATCAGCGCCAGGAGAGTTGGTTAACCGCAGGGATTTGAGTTGCGCCAGGACCTTCTCCAGAGTGAAATGAACAGTCCTCAGGGAAGTTGAGAGTGAAACCGAAGAAGGTACCGTCGTTGTGTGCATTGATGGTACGGAGAACGTGGATGCGTAGTGCTGGCACAGGACTTCTGCTGCCTCGTTAGCTGATTTCGTGAGCCCCTGTGGGGGTCGTCAATACGGTGAGACCGTGCTTGACTTGTCGAAGACTATTGACGTGACTATACAAGGCTTTGGGATTGGATGAAAATTTACGCGTAAGTTGACGCTGGTGCTCACTCTTATCTTCTCGTACAAGATGGACGCATTGGTTACGGATGGATCGGTAATATTCCCACTGAGTGGCCGTTGGATGGGAGCGATAGTTTCTCCATGCCGTGTTCCTGGAGGCAATCCACTTCCGTGAACGACTTCGGACGAGTGCTGGGCGTCTCTTCCCTATG